ACGGAGGAGTCTTGGCGTTTGTGTGATAACAGATAGCTAGCTACACTTCGACATTATCTTTCTTGATCGTTGAGTTTCAGCAATGTAAATGAAATGAATTTTATAGCCAGTCCATAACGGGTTTTAATCCTGTGCTTTTACAGTCAAAATAGCACTATTGTTTACACATGTTGGAGATGTTTGGGAAATCAAAGGATCCCGTTATAAAATAAATCTTTTGTTTTGAATATCGGACAGGATACACTTCAACTATAAAGAACCATATCGTTCGTTTAATACCGTTTGATCGATCATTCTGTGTAGAAGATATGTATGTTTCTACGGCGATACGTGCTAAACTTCGCAAGCCAGGCGCGTCAGTGGATTGTTTTCCTTGCAAGTGAAATATGATCCAGCTTCTCGCTTGAAATGTACCGCAACACTTATTATTGATGACATTCAGTACAGCAGGAAGTCTTGTCATGATCGGTACAATTTAAAACAGTTCCTTTCACAATCTCTTGTTGCAAATTACATTTTTATCACCCGAAATTATAACACATAAAGTTGCAATTTTCCAAACGCAACAAACAGACTCCTCTACTACCCCTCCCTGAGGTCAAATTCAATTTACCCCCAAAATCTGGGGGTTCACGTGACCAGCTCCGACCAGGGTCTTTGCTTCCCAAGAGCAAAGAGCCTGGGAACGAGGTTGGGACTGATCACACAGTTGCAAAAAGTGTTTTTTTCCCTCTTTTCTGTTTTTCAGTTTTTATAACCTTGTTTCTAAGCACTAAAAATTGAAAACATTTGATTGTTAACATAATGCCATAAAGAAAACATTCAACACGATGTATTTGTGATCGTTGCTGCATGAAGAGCTTAAAAAATCTGTACATTTCAGAAGAAACAGCATATACTGACATTTAACTTTTGAGAATTTTAATGAAAAGACCAGTGGCAGACACTTTTTACGAAATATGGGGGGGGGCTCGTGCCAAAGGCACGGAAAAATTTTAAAATTTGAATCCCGGAAATGGCATTTGCAGCGTTCTGAGAACACATTTTGTAAAAAACTAGGGTTTCAAAACACTGTTTTAATGGCACGTTTTGTTATAAATCACATGCCAAGCCATGTACAGAAACATATACTATTATATTATGATAACAATTACGTTATATGAGTGTGATTTGTGTTATTTGGTACAAGATTTTTGCAGTCTTTCAAAATTATTAGGGGGGGATCAGGGCCCCCTAGCCCCCCCCCCTAATTATGTGTGTATAATGTTGCTACTTTCAAGTTTAAATCTCATTTGCGTGGCGTGGTTATCCATCCTCCGTCCAACGTTTTTAGTCCAGGATAAAATGTTTCGGAAATTCCTTAAAAAAATCCTCAAAAACCTAAATTCCTTAAAAAAATCCTTAAAACTCTTCAAAATTCCTATTTTTAAGAATAATTCCTTAAAAGTGAGAGCACTGGTGGTATGTTTAATTATTTGATATAATTATTATTAGTATAAACCTACTTGTAGGCTATCATATTTCGTGCGTTCTGATTGGCTACGCTACTTGTAGGCTATTAGTGATAGCCTACTAGTAGCAACAAATGATGAAGGGCACAAGAGTCAATGGCCATTTTTAAGTATTAAAAGCTGCATTTAAAGGGAAAAAGCTTATCAAAATGGCCTAATTTTGTTTTTGGATTACACACAATCAAAGACGCAAAGTGCAAACTGCTGACACATATTTTTTCGTTTGAATGTCGAGAATTTGGTCGAGTTTGTTTTTAGCCTTTTTTGAGCATTTTTATTTGACTTTTGTATATGTATACTAGATGATGCCTCTTTATTTTTCCGGATATTTTAAGATTTTAACGATATTCGGGTTCTTTTGCATACATTTTTATCCTGCTTTTAAACATAAACATAATTTAGTAACAATTCGGGAAGCCATTGTGTGTTTGAAATTTTGGACATTTTAAGCCTTGTTTCCTTCTTTTAATTAGTCGAACTTTGCTTGTATAACAACTTCTTACTATTATACTGTTTTACGATATGTTTTTAAACTTTTTTTAAAACTCACAAATAGTATTTTTCAAGTCATTCTTGAGAGTTCACAAACCAAGTAGTTGTCAAGAAGGCCGAGGCGAAATGTCGCCAAATGCTCAGCCAAAGGGAGCCATTTAAACGCTCATTTTATTAAAACGTTACTATTTTGCATAAAAAACGAGTGAAAAATTCCGTTTTCTTTATGTGGTTTATACTAAAACAATTAGACAACTCAGCCTCATTGTCTCTGAACAAATAGTCAACTCGGCTTCGCCTTGTTGACTATTCACTCATAGACAACTCGGCTTCGCCTCGTTGACTATTCACTCATAGACAACTCGGCTTCGTTGTCTAATTGTTAAATAGTAAAATTTTTTTAAATACTCATTAACTCTAATATTAAATTGATTGGTGATAAAGTGACTGTTAATTTTGAAATTCTAAAACTAAGCCAACCGGATACTGTACTTTATAATTTATTTCGTTAATCTGTAACATTTTATCTTTATAGATGTATTCATGAGCGATCAAATGCCAAGCAGGGGTTACCAAAGTAATGGTATGTTTGATAAAAATACTATACAATAGTGTTTTATCGGGTAGTTCCTCGGGTAGAGGAGAACTGATCATGTGATCGGCTAGTTGTGTTGTTTGTGGTGTCAGATATAACCCTATCTCTAATCCTTAATCTAACCCTTACCCTAACCCTAACCTCAACACTAATCACTATAACTGATGATGTAATCTGTGATGCAAATTCTTATACCTGAGGAAGTACCCATTTTATCGACTGTATCTGATCCAAGAAACTATGTGTTACTGTAGCTACAATTTATCAATTTCCATAACAATTGTCAAAAATGTTAATCAGTTTCCTTGAAGTAACTAATTTCAGTCATCTGTAGACTACATACATCAAAATGTTCCTTGGGGATTTTAAAGTGTTCACATGACGAACAACGAAGTTCTGATGTTTTCTATAAGATACAATTTATGAAGGTCGCGATTATGATCTCTGTATAATAGGCCTAGTGTGCTTACATTGGCTCTGTGGTAGCCATGTCCGAGGGGAAGCATTTGATGAAGTGTGCAAATGCTTTCCGTCAAGTTGGGAAATGAACTAATGATCAATTTTTGGAACGCTTATGTTGATACACCTGTAAAGTATAATGAATGAACCCTGTACAGTGTGTTCTGAAAATAAGAAACTTCGTTCTTGACTTAATTGTGTTTTTTATTTGTCTTCCAGGTTTCCAACGGTCTGTTCTAATGAAATTGGAAACCTTGATTGAGAAGCATGACGAGACCTTAGAAATTTTATGTGTCCTTTTAAACGCCACAAGAGGCGTTAATGAGAATGAAATGCTGGAGGATATTCTATCCAGTCCATTGGACTCTGTTCAAGTTGTGCTCTCGTCTAAATAACAAGGAATTCCCATAAAAAGATGGTACATAGGTTGTAATGGCAAAATAAGACATACCGATTCAGACTTCACTACCTCCAACTACATCAGTTATGCCCATATTCTAAAAGCTCACTCGCACTCAATGAGTGGAAGTTCAATCTGAGCTTCTCTCGAGTGTCATACCTTACTATGTGACCACTTACCGTCCAGCTATTCAAAAACAGCATTGACTCTCAAGAGAAGCTCAGATTGAACCGTATCATACAGGCGATATTCCATGTCTTACTATGGTAGCTCAATTTTTCAGAATGCAGCTACTTCAGAAATTTATAGTTTTGATAATTCCTCACAAGTTTGATTTTTTCTGTGCAGAATAATTCATGCACTACCTTGATCTCATATTAATGACTTTTCAAAATAAAAGCCACAATTAATGGTGATTTCTGATCTGCAAATAGGATTTGGGCCAAAATTGGGTTGGAAAGTTCAATTATTGTATGCTGTACTCTGTGACACTTTAATGTTATTACAGCTACAGTTTCTGGTGGCACTTTGTGGGAACAATTGCACCCTAAACATTCGCAGAATTATGTCAAAGCTTGGGACCAACAAACTGTGGTCAGAATACAGTATGAAAGGGTGCAAATCAAAATTGGCTTTCAAAAACCTTCAATCATGGACATAACTTGTTAATAAAATTTTAATTTGCCTCTGTGAGAGTTTAAATTGTAGTTTAATTCCTGTAGTGTGTCTAAAACATCCCCCTCCCCCAACACAATGTTGTTGAACTACATTTAAAATGAGAGGGAAATCTTGGCAACATTGAGTGGGGGAGTGGGGGGGGGGGGAACCTATATGAAGTTATTTGTTATTTGTTTTGAACCTATATGAAGTTATTTGTTATATTTATCGCATTTCCTCGCTCAATACTTAACGTTCGTTCAATTAACACACAGATAACATTAAAATTATATCACTTTACTATCAAATAATAAGGTAAAAGACTCAAACATAACTAACATTGAGTTTGTAACAAAATATCCTCGAATAATCGAATATAATATAGATAATACACGTTCGATCGAAAGAGTATGAAACTTGTTGTTTTTATACTAAAATTCCCGTATGTAAAAGCGAATCGCACGTGTTTAGCCTGCGAACAGGTTCAACAGTCTGCAATCAGGCTCAAAGTAAATGCAACAAATGTTATTGAAACTCTGTTCATGTCTAACAGTTTATCACACTCCCGGCATTGATCACCCCAGAGTGATCAAATATACTTTAACTATACGATTATAATGAACTTCATAAATGAATCCAGCATAATGTGGTGAACGAGTCCGTCCATAAAACAACATCGGCAATTTCCTTAATCGACGTGAGTGCTTGAATAATAGAATCGACCAATCGTGCTAATATATTTGCTCCTAACAGTTCAAGTCGTGGTATAGTCTGTCTTTTGATAGGCGCAACTCGTGTTTTGGATGCAATCAAATTCACTTCAATATCTCCATTGCTGTGTGCTGTGCGAAGATACACCACTGCCGCAAACGCAAGATCAGACGCATTACAAAACCCTGTGAATCTTGTGTGTTCGAAACAGTTCGTTTAGACGTTGAAAATAACATTGTGGTACTCGTATATCACTCAGGGCTTGTAAATCTTTTACGAGAGATTTCCAAGCCGTTAATGCTTTGCCATCTAACTCGTCATCCCAGTTCACGCTGGTGGTACACAGTGTCTGAAACAACATTTTCATGGTAACTGTAAATGGAGAGAAAAGACCAATGGGGTCGAATACTTTGGCGAAAAGCTTTAACACTGATCGTTTAGTTGCGGGAAGGGATTTCGCATATTCAACTAATTCGCCGAGGTCATAACAAAATTCATCACTGTCCTCGTTCCAACTAATCCCGAGAATCTTAACGCAATTGCTTTTCGATACTGAAGAATGTTGCGATGATGAACATGGTAAAGAGGCGTCGACTTTACGTACTTCTATGTCAACATCGACGTTGTGATAAGTGGATTCTGAATTCGCGTTTGTTACTTTGTCTTTCACACTTCCATTTGCGTCTTCTTGGGTTGCGATGAAATCTCGTATGGAGGCAGAATTCAAATGCCATTTTCGAAGTTTGAACCCACCTTTGCCTATTAGATCGTGAGATGTGCGATAGATATGTAAGGCTTCATCATCATCATAAGCTCCACCGGCGAAATCATCAACGTACAGAGACTCGAGCAACAATGAGACTATCTCTGGTTCAATTTCCTTGTATCTTGAAAGATGATGAGATATAGTGCTGGATAAGATAGCAGGACTGGGGGTTAGACCAAATGGCAGACGTCGAAACTCATATTCTTTGAGGGTCGGGGGATCTTGATTAATATCTTCAAACCAGAGAAACTTCAACATTTTCCTATCATCAGGAGCAATTTGTATCTGATGGAAGGCTTTCTCGATATCAGCAACAAGTCCGATAGGATAACCTCTGAAATTTACAACAGTATCAAATAGATGTGGAACTAAATTTGGACCCTTTTGGAGACAATCATTTAATGACAGATCATCTTTTGTAGGTTTCGCGGAACCGTCAAACACGACTCTAAGTTTTGTTGTTTCTTTATCTTGGCGAATCACTCCATGGTGAGGTAAATAATGGCTAGTTTCTCCAGGTTCAACTACGAAGTCTATGATACCGCCTTTCTCTTGATCCTTAAATTTGTTGTCATATTGTTCGAGTAATTGTTTGTCTTTATCGAGACGAGACTTGAGTTGATGGAGTCGTTTCAAACACATACCGTATCCGTTCGATTTCGGAATACTCTCATTCTTCCGTGGTAAACTAACTTCGTATCTTGCTTCATTCTCGAGATATCGAATATCCTTCAAAAACTCTTCTTTAGTTACTTTCTCCTCATTAATTCCCATCGACTCGATCTTCCAGAATTGGCTTAAACACTTCGAAAGTTCAGATTCATCCTCTCTCAACGCAAATGAGGATGGTGTTAATAATGAACATTGCTCCTCGATGAGCAAATGAACTCCCGAGACTTTCGAACACGATTCTGTATCATTTGTCGGACCAGTAACAACCCAGCCAAAGTCGCTATTAAAGGCAACAGGACCACTTTCGCCTCGTACCATCTCGCCAGTGAGAATATCAAAATAATAATCTGCGCCAATAAGAATGTCGATACTGCTATCATTTTGTCGACCTTCGAGAATGTTGAGA